GTATAAATAGCTGCAAGCATTCCCGGTTGGAGATCTTCTGTTCCACCAAATGTCCCCTGCCTGCGGCTTCCCACTGAACCAATGATAGGCTGCGAAAAGAAATATAGTACAATGGAGAAATATGTATTGACAGTTGCACTGCTGCATCATCAGGAGAAACATTGCACGTGTTTATCCCTTCCCTTGCAAAAAAACTTTAACTTGAGAGCATCTACAACTTTTAAAGCACAACTTTTGACTTGGGATCACTGCACTAGTGAAGGAAGATAAGCCACAGACATATATATTTGAAACAGCTTATACCCCAGTGACAAAATGCACTACAATTCTTCCAAATTACCATAGAACCCCTGCCTGCGGCTTCCCACTGAACCAATGATAGGCTGTGAAAAGAAATATAGTACAATGGAGAAATATGTATAGACAGTTGCACTGCTGCATCATCAGGAGAAACATTGCACGTGTTTATCCTTTCCCTTGCAAAAGAACTTTAACTTGAGAGCATCTACAACTTTAAAGCACAACTTTTGACTTGGGATCACTGCACTAGTGAAGGAAGATAAGCCATAGACATATATATTTGAAACAGCTTATACCCCAGTGACAAAATGCACTACAATTCTTTCAAATTACCATAGAATTTAAAGCACAACTTTTGACTTGGGATCACTGCACTAGTGAAGGAAGATAAGCCATAGACATATATATTTGAAACAGCTTATACCCCAGTGACAAAATGCACTACAATTCTTCCAAATTACCATAGATGTGGATCATGAGGCCAGCATGTGCTTCTATACTTGAATTCTGTGCATATTTGCATACCTGTTCAAGAGGTCCAAGTAACTGTTTCTCCATGCCCCTCAGGAAGTTCAGCATGGCTGGAGTCATTCCTGGTGTGGTCAATGTCCTCTTGTGTTCCATAAGAGTCCTGATGTACAGAGTGACTTCCTGTAACAAATGCACAAATCAAACGGTAACAAGCTCCTACATTTTTCAA